ATGGATGGATGGGATCGGCATGATGGATGGATGGATGGATGGTATGGATAGATGGACTGGATGGATGATGCGACTGGATGGATGATGGATGGATGGATGGATGGTAGGAATGGATGGATGGATTGGAGGATGGTGGATGGATGGATGGATGGATGGATGGATGGATGGGATGGATGGATGGATGGATGGATTGGATGGATGGATAGATGGATGGATGGATGGATGGATGGATAGATGGGATGGATGGATGGACGGCGGAGGCGGACGGACGGACGGACGGACCGGACGGACGACGGACAGACGGACGGGGTGGATGGATGGATGGATGGATAATAGATAGATTGATGGAATTGATGGATGGGATAATGGGAATGAATGAATGATGAATGAATGAATAAAGAATGAATGAAGAATGAAATGAATGAATGAATGAGATGAATGAATGCAATGAATGATATGAATGAATTGAAAAAAAATTGAAAATTGAATGAATGAATGAAATGAATAATAAAATGAAAGAAATGGAAGCAATAAGATGATTGGTTCAGCGTATTTACCATTGCTGCGACCTCCTCTGTAAGCGTGAACGAAACAAGTGTACACACGGGCCTACGCGGATATTTTTCCTTGAGAGAATTGCTGCTGAGATCGCTAGCGCTTAGCACTAGACGTGCATCTACTTCGACTTGAGAGCTGCGCAAATTGATATCCGTGAAATTCGCGGGCGGAGGTATTGCTCGCTCGTGAGAGGCTGATATCTCGTGATTAGCGGCTGAGTAATGGTGACAGCTTCACGAGTGCCCCATGGCACAAGCGTCCCGAGCAAGGTGGAAGCATTCTCCCTGGGTGATTGGCTTGTTCCGCCAGTTGTCTCGTATTTGTTTGCTGAGTAAGAAATATTCTTTGAGATTTTTGAAACACGAATGTTCGGTGCGAATTCACGAAAGATAGCTATGAGGTTTGGTTCTCAGACAGATGCAATGGAAAGTAAACCTACTCGTTAAACTCTAAAGTGCAGAGTCTAACTATGTCTCATATTATTATTTCTATGGACAGATGTGAAAGCGAGACAATAGACCGGGTCAGAACATGTCGAGGCAGCAAAATCACGAGCTAAAATGTAAAAGGATTAAATGACGGGCCCTAAAATTAAGCAGGGTGGTGTATGACAAATAGTGTCATAGAAGAGCGTATATGCGTATGTAGTAATTGTCATAGATGCAAGCAGAACATGTTGCTATCAAAGTACAAACCGCACGCGCGGAAATAGTATAATGTGATAACTAATCAATTAATGAATGTTAAAATCTACGAGGAAATATATATGAATTGATGAGATGAAATGAGAAAAATTCTAGACAAGTAATAGGTTTAATGACAAAAACAATCGTGTTAATATGATAGTTCAAACATTGATGAATAAATAAATGAATGAATCAATGAATAAATGAATGAATGAATGAATGAATGAATGAATGAATAAATGAATGAATAAATGAATGAATGAATGAATTGAATGAATGAATGAATGAATGAATGAATGAATGAATGAATGAATGAATAAATAAATGAAAAAATGGATAGACAAATAGATGAATTGGTTCAGGCGTATTTACCTCTGCGCCTCCTCTGTAAGCGTGACGAACAAGTGTACACACGGGCCTACCGGATATTTTCCTTGAGAGATTCTGCTGAGATCCTAGAGCTTAGCACTATGACGTGCATCTACTTCGTTGAGCTGCCAAATTGATTCCGTGAAATTCCGCGGGGGTTTGCCGCTCGTGGAGAGGCTGATATCTCGTGATTAGCGGTGAGTAATGTGACACTTCACGAGTGCACCCATGGCACACTCCGAGAAGGTGGGAAGATTCGTCCCTGGTGATTGGCTTGTCCGCCAGTTGTCTCGTATTTGTTGCTGAGTAGAAATATTCTTGAGATTTGGAAACACGAATGTCGGTGCGATTCACGAAATAGCTATGAGGTTGGTTCTCAGACAGATGCATGGAAATAACCTACTAGTTAAACTCTAGTGGCTAGTGTCTAACTAGTGTATCTATATTATTTCTATGGACAGATGTGAAGCGAGACAATAGACGGGTCTAGAACATGTCGAGAGCACAAAATCCGAGCTAAAATGTAAAGGATTAAATGACGGGTCCTAAAAATTACAAGGGTGGGGTATGAATAGTGACTATACGGATACGATGCCGGATCCAATGATTTTACAGACTAAAAATTATTAATTAATGTTAACATTTCAATTTCTTTAGAGAGTATAATTATATTCCATTCGAAGGGGAAACATCAAAAACTATAGCAACCAATCCCAACCTGCTCAATTTCTGTACACGTATTGATAGAGTAAATAAGAATCGCATCAGAAAACTCAAACAATGGATATAATTGTTTCATCATTGACGTCTATTATAGGTCTATTACAATCTAATATTTTAACATTTTTCTCATTACGCCTGCACAATGGTATTATAAACATTGCTAATCACTGCGGAATGAATATGGACCTTTAGTATACGCCGTTATGGGAGGAAAGGCCGGAGAAAAAGGAAGAGGGGGACGAAGGCGGAGGAAGACGAAGACGGTGAAGAAAATAAACAAGAAGAAAGGATAAAGGAGAACGAATAAGAAGGGGAGAAGGAGGGGCGGAGGAAGAAGAAAAAGAAGAAGACGAGGAGAAGGACGAGAACGACTAGGAGGTGAAGACAGCGACGGCGAAGAAGAAACTAAAGAATAAGGTAGGATGAAAGAGTAAAAGAGTAGGAGGGGGAGGAGGAGGATGGAGAGAAGGAGTGGCGGAGAGGTGGAGGGGAGAAGGGGGTGGAGGAGAGGGGAGGAGGGATTTGTGGCTGCTTTGATATATAATACGACTACGATGATTATGCCTATAATAATGTAAATACTTTCCGAAGAGAATAAAACCCAATTTGTTATTATTTACCCCTGGTATTATCAGTGTATACGCTCCTGATATCATTGATAACACGAGAACGCGTACGTGGTTATCCGAGCGCGCGCTGGTTCGTTCCCGAGCAACTTAGCGGTGGCGCTAGTGTCGACCATACGGACAGAGCCGAGAGCGTAGGGTGGACGATCAACAACTGTTCAAGGAAAGTAGGAGCGAAAGTAGAGATACTCGCTAGCCGCTAGTATTGCTATTGAAACACATGTTTCTCTAGTATTAAGATTATGGTGCCGTGTTACATTCTACTGGCTAGTCTTGCGATTGTCTTTCCAGGGCAGTGTACAGGTTATCAATATGATTCACAGCGGAAACTTCGTCGAGAAGTAGTAACTGGACACGCAAATGTTATAACATCAAATGAAAATCATGCCGACTTCAACATCCCATACGACGGAACAGTTAAACTTGGAAGTGAATCTTTATACATCTACAATTACAACATTTCGGGTGGCAAGGTAACAATTAATGAATTATAGTTATTACGGTTGTCTTATACACTCTAGCTGCTTTGTGTATAGTAATATACTACTACTAGTACTACTACTACTACTAGTACTAGTTTGGATCTATTCCAAACTAAACCCTACCGTAATCTCACTTAGCTTTGCCGATGCTAAAACTTGGTCCCTGGCTTTAGTTTTAAAACTAACTAGGCCTATTCTATGCCATGGTTCCCCCATATTACTATGCTTCGTCAGGCTGGTGTCCCGATACACCTCAGAACTGTTCTAAATTGGATGGTTAGCATAAAGCTGCGAGATGGGTCTCCAAAAGCTGTCAAGATAGTTCTGAAGTTGTTTAGGTTCAACTTGATCGGCCTCCTCTTCGTGTCCGCTAAGTTTCTTCATGCTAAACTTGTAGGCCCTATAGCGTTTCATAAAATTTATCGTGGTCAGGTGAAGATTGTCATTCCCTCTTGCTTGATGAAGCCTGTTCGCAGCACTCGATCGTCTGAGCGCGACCATTGCTTTCGACACATACCATCTTCAAAGGATCCCTTTAAATTGAGCTTTGTTTCTCTCATTTCGTATTGGAATTCTCTCCCTTCTTCTTTAGTTAGTTGCAAATTTGAGGCTTTTTCAACTGCAATTCGCAGTGTTGATCTGTCTATTTGATCAACTTTCTCTCTTTTTGTCTTCGATATTGTCCCTTGGACTTTAAAGACTAATATTTATGAGGTTGTGTTTTGTCTACATCGTACAACTCGGTCCATGTTACTCTTAGAGTATTTTACAGTCAGGTACACTAGGGGTTTTTGGGCTTTTGGGAGATTGCGACAGTTGTCAGCTAGGTGGCAGGAAGATAGCCAGAAGTTATTAGTTAGGTGTCAGGAAGATCAGCACGAGTTATCAGCTATTAGTTATTGCCAATAAAGTTTACCTGTGATGCTGGCCTAACTGTAGGCCTACTGGTATCTATATATATGCACAGCAATCAATTTGTTATGTGTCTAATGCTATTGCCATTTGCCTGCATGCATGTCATGTTATGTATGGCCCTTGTTTGGTTATCACCACGGTCCTAGCCTTATTTACGCAGTGAAAAGACGAGAAAATAATAGAGTCTAAACATCATTAATTGCCTGATGTAGATGGGCATGCTCCGATTGGTTGAAATTCAATTTGAGTTGAATGAAGTTGAGAGGTAATAATGGACCCAGCAGTTTTCGCAGTGTTACGATGCAGGAGTACACACTTCTTCCCTTGGGTAGTTTTGCGTGATTGTCACTATTAGTAAATGTGCCCCGGACATACGTCAGTGTACAGTTGTAGTACTGTAGAATTCAATAGTCTAGAGCATTTTTATTCTCACTTAGTTGTGTGATTTTATGGTGCATATAAATCTGGATTAATTAGTAGCACATATTTGGTGCTTTACATAATTATGTGATGCATTTGTGAATCACAATGATCTGTGCACATATATAGGCCTACATGTACATGCATTTACAGTGTGTAATTCTGTCAATTTTTCTGTGTTTTGTTTTTACATCCTTCAAGTTTGGAGGCAATTGTCAATACAGCATTTTATGATTACTCTTACTTCAGTTTGCTGTATTTTAAACTTGATCATGAATATCTTGTACTAACATATTGGATGTTGGTATGTTTTGCATTCATATTCTAATTGCATCATAAATACCCATATACCACATACCACTGCCATACACTTCATTAAGCCTATCAATTTTCTGTCCTGATTCACAGTATGGTGTTCTGTTATGGCAGACCTTATGTGAATCAGGACAGAAAATTGATAGGCTTAATGTGTCTACGTCACGAATTTCCTGAAATTTATA